CCTGTAGACTTCACTCCCAGAATTCCCGAGCCAACATGGCCCCTTTATTACAACCTGTGGACTTCAACTCCCAGAATTCCCGAACATGGCTACCTTGGGAATTCTGGGAATTGAAGTCCACAAGTCATGAAAGAGCCATTGTTCCCCATGCCTGGTGCAAAGCATCATAGGGATGTTGTTTCCTGGAGAAATTCAGTGTAGGTTGTCCTCGACTTAGGACACAATTGAATTCAACATTTCTCTTGCTAAGCGAGACAGTGGCTAAGTGAGTTTTGCCTTATTTTACAACGTTTCTTGCCACTGTGGTTAAGCGGATCACTGCAGTGGTCACGTTAGCAACACATTTGTTAAGCGAATCTGCCTTCTCCCTTCACTTCGCTGGTCAGAAGGGGATCACGTGACCCCAGAGACACTGCAATCGTCATAAATAATGAATTGGTTGCCAACCCTCCTTGAACCCTTGGCCACAGGGATGCTACAATGGCTGTGGAATGGTTGTGAGTCTCTGCTTTATTTTTCTCTCACCGCTGTTTTTGAGGATCACCTGTGCTAAAAACCTTGGGACTTGGTTTACAAACTTCAGAAGTTGTGGGTGCTTTTCAAAAGGAGGCTGGACGGAGAATATATATTTAATAATTCGTATAATCACAGCTGGGAGATTGGCTTATGCACAACAATGGAAAGGTAAAGATATTCCAAATGAATCAGAAATAATTAGGAAAATCTGGATGTGCGCAGAAATGGACACATTTACAAAGGAATTAAAAAATAAGGATGAACCGGATTACCTCAAAGTCTGGGACAAGTTTTATGGTTGATTAGAAAAGAGGAAGAAGGATCAAGACAATAAGAAATGATTAAATGTGTGTGTGTGTGTGTGTGTGTGTGTGTGTGTGTATTAAATATACATATAGAATGTAAATGTATTATTTTTATATGTACTTAGCAATGTAAGACAAATATGTGGGTTAGGAGGATTGTACCATGTTCAGTGTTTTTAATGTATCTTTTTGTTTGTGTTTGTTCAATAAAATTTAAAATTAAAAAAAGGAGGCTGGACAACCAAACCGTTCATCTAAAATGGTGCAGGGTCCCCTTCTTGAGCAGGGGGTTGGACTAGGAGACCTCCAAGGTCCCTTCTGACTCTGTTATACTCTTCGTTGGAGTCTTGGGGGGGGGGAGGTGTACCATTTCACCTGTGAGAACCATTCTTTGAAGCCTTGGGTGTCTTCTTTTTGTCTCCTCCTTCATCCAGGCGATACAAGGCTGACCCTGTCTGTGTCGATCTGCAGAACCAGATCTTCCAGTGCTATCAACAGAACCCAAAGGAGACCCTCAGCTGCTCAGCTCTGGCCACCGAATACTTCAAGTGTGTCCGGCATGCTCGGCAGGTGGGTGCGAAAGTGGAGGATTGCGATGGGAGGACCACAGAGATGTGGGATTCAGCCGGTTCTGACCGGTTCTAGAGAACCGGTAGCGGAAATTTTGAGAGTTCGGAGAACCAGCCAATCCCGCTTCTGGCCCCGCCAACCCCATCTCTTCTCTGCCTCCCACTGAGTCCCAGCTGATCGGCTGGGTCTTCTTTGGTTGCCTTGCCCAGGAGAACGGAGCTGGAAAGCAGGTTAGTGGGGTGGGGGAGGGAAGGGGGATTTTGCAGTATCCTTCCCCTGCCACACCCACCAAGCCACGCCCACCAAGCCACACCCACAGAACAGGTAGTAAAAAAAATTGAATCCCACCACTGGATGACCACGCCCAACAAACCCTAACTCACCCCATTATATTATATCATATTATGCAGGCCAGTTTGGTCCAGTGGTTAAGGCACCATGCTAGAAAGTGGTAGACTGGGAGTTCTAGTTCCGCCTTAGCCATGAAACCCGGCTGAGTGACTTGGGGCCAATCCCCAGGAGACAGTGAGTTCTAGTTCTCGCCACCTCACAGAGTTGTTGATGTGGGGAAAATACGTCCTAAAAACTGTTTTCCGGTGTCATCCGGTGTCTTGTAACATTTGGCCAATTTTAACTCCACTGGGGGCGTGGATCCTGGATTTTGGGTGCTTTTTCTGTAAGTTGGCCCACTTGAGGCACCTTGGGTGAAAACGTTTTGTCGTAACACACACCTAACGATGTGCTCAAAACCACATCCCTAAAACTGAGCCCTGAATCAGATGTCGGATGCTGCGTTCGCTGCTGGGCTGTGGATTGACCACATCTGATCTGTGCTCCAAGACTTTCTATAGGAGAAGAATAGGCAGAGCTGGGGGTGGAGTGAAATGCATCATTAGCTTAGAACGGTGATGGCAAACTTATGGCACCCGAGCCCCAGCCAAACTTACCTGCACTGCGCATGCGCGCACCTCCCAGCTGATTTTCGGCCCGTTTAAGGCCGTTTTCGCCCTCATGGAGGCTCAAGGGAAGCCTCTGCAGCCTCTGGAGGCCGAAAAATGGGCCTTCCCAACGCTGCATAGGAAATACCAGAAGTGCCGAAACGGGCCCATTTTTTGGCCTCCTGAGGCTGCAGAGGCTTCCCTTGAGCCCCCAGGACGGTGAAAACAGCCTCCCCCAGGCTCCAGAAGCCCTCCGTAGGCTGAAAACGGGCACTTCTGTATTTCCGGAAAGCCTGTTTTTCAGCCTCCAAAGGCTGCAGAGGCTTTTCTCAAGCCTCTGGGAGGGTGAAAATGGCCTCAAACGCGCAGAATATCAGCTAGGAGGCGCGCGCATGTGCAGTGCAGGTAAGGGGGCGTATTGCATGTGCATGCCACAGGAGGGGCGGGGCGCATTTTATTGTGGGTTCCAGCACTCACACATGCGCTATCGCACACGCGCGCACTTTTGGCACCCCACAACAAAAAGGTTCGCCATCACCGACTTAGAATCATTGCATTCCCACAAGCGGTCCACGTCGAATCCCTGTGATGATCCAGGGTGGGATACAAACAAACACAGTCACAAAAACCCGGTGAAGCCCCTTTTATTCCTTCACTTTGCTTCTAAGCTCCAAATATCCTTGACAGAAGACAAAAAACTCCCCCACAGTTACAAGAAGGAGGAAAAAAGCAACACAAACCAGGCAAGATAAGGGCTGGAGGACGTCCGCAGATAACAGAACACACACTGGGAAGGACGCCAAACTCAGAAAGGAACCATAAACTAGAGATATTTCCATGCTTTGTTTCCAGCACTGGCCCATACGCATGTCCGTCCTCTTATTCAGTTCTCACACCTGCAGCCCATGAAGAGGATCAAGGCCCCTTCCTCCCCCGTAGACCATGCCATTCAGGTCTCTCCCTTATCCTCTCCTCCCTGCGTGCCCTAGGATGGAGAGGGGATGGGCCTGGGTCCTCCTCTGACTGCTCAGCCGGCCTCTGCCCTTCCCCAGCCTCCTCCACAACCTCCGGAGCCACACTCCCACTCCCTGTCAGTTGTTCCTCCTCTCCCTCAGAATCGGTCTCCACCAGGGGCAGGACAATCCCTCCTGAATTCCATTAACCCTTTTCCGGAACCAATTTCGTGCTGAACTTGATAGTGGGCCAGATTCTTACCCGTAGGCTGGAGTACAAGTAGTCCTCGACTTACGGTCATTTGTTTAGTGACCGCTCAAAGTTACAATTGCCCTGAAAAAAAAAAATGACTTGCCACCATTTGTCACACTTAACAACCATTGCTGCATCCCCATCCTCGTGTGATCAAAATTCGGACGCTTGGCCACCGGTTCCTATTTATAAAGGTTGCAGTGTCCCGGGGTCATTCATTCCTCTTTTTAATGACACGCGACGTCAATGGCCTGATTTACTTAACAACAACATGATTCGCTTAGAACTGATTCGCTTTATGGCGAGAAGGTCGTAAAATGGAGCAAAAAAAACCCCGCTTACCGGTGGAAATTTTGGGCTCAGTTTTGGTCGTAAGTCGAGGAGTACCCTAACCAGATTCTTTGCGCCTGACACGTTCCCTTGATGGACCGTTGCCCAGCCGTCCTCTGAAATCATCCGCCGTTCGTCATTTTGCGAGTTTTTTGTTCCCTTCTCATCTTCTCACAAAGAGAATTGCAAAGTGGCTTTCCGCCAATCCAGTAAGATTGCCAGCCGCGGCCACCGCGCATCCGTTTAGCTCGCCGAGTGTCCTGCTTTTCTAAATTAAACACTCTTGTAGTTTTTTGAAAATTATTATTATTATTGTCATCCCATCTCTCCTGAGTTGTCTCACCAGCCAACCTTACTCTCTTTTAAGTCCCTTTCGTACGGACGAAGGCCAATCCAGGAAGGTTGTTTTGGCTGGACAGCCTCTCGTTCTCTTCCTTTTGTTGGCGCTCTGCATGTCCAGAGAGACCGAGCAAGATGATAATGGCCGTGGAGGCAGCCGGCCAGAATTTCTTTTTGTACAGAGTGCATCTCGAGAGTGCCGGAAACTGGCAGCGACCATCTGGAAGGAGCCGGGCAAAAAAGGAAGACAATTAAGGGGCCTCTGTACTCACGCTGCTTTCCTGGCATTTATTTCCAAGTTTCCCGTTCGATGCTCCCCGTTTGTAACTCTCTCAACAGAAGAGAAACGGAGGATGCTAGTCGCCGGCACGGGAAAACACGTCAGAGGCGGTTTTCTCGGGAGCCTTTCCCCACTTGTGCCTGGATGTTTCGGGGGGAGTGGGCGCAGTTGGGCAATCTCCCCCCCCCCCCGAAAAAAAAACCACTTAGGCATATACAGGTGGTCCTCGGCTTACGATTGTCCATTTAGTGGCTGCTTGAAGTTAACGGCGGCATTGGAAAAAAAGGGACACTTGGCAGTTGGTTCGTATTTATGACGGTCGCAGTTTCCCAGGGTCACACAGAATCATCTCTTGATAGATAGATAGATAGATAGATAGATAGATAGATAGATAGATAGAAGATAGAAGATAGAAGATAGATGAGATAGATAGATAGATAGATAGATAGATAGATAGATAGATAGATAGATAGATAGATAGATAGATA